AGACTGCGCCTTAGACGCATTAGAAGAGTCACCCCCCCCCCCCCAACCCTCCACTTTTGATAGTTAATTAAACGTCAGGCGGGAAATATTCGCGTCATTAGGAAAACTCGGGTGCAGCGCGGAAGCTACGTCGCCGCTCCCTACTTCCGCCGCAGACTGGTCCGCTACTCTTGCTTCTCGATTCTCTTTTAATTATTATAATACATTAATAATATCTATCAGCTGTCTATTTAAAAATAAAGGAAATTTGGAACCAGTAAGACCGTGGGCCGATGATATAGTGGACTATCTATCCAGTCATACTCGTGAACGGGTGCTGCTTGTCCCCACTGGTCTGTTCGGGTTACGAACACTGATTAGACTATTTGCTTTTGCTAGCGTATGCTGGTAGTCACCCTATTGTTAAGTCAACATTTCAATGGAACTAAAACTTTTCATCAAGTTACTTTAATTTGTAATTATTAGAAAAAAATATACTGTAATCTTTAACCTCTTTTATTTACTGTTAAAAACTAATGAAAACTAATGTAACGGACTTTTTTTATACTGCGTTAAGAAGAGAAGCTATCAAACTCAAATGATATTAAAAATAAATATAAATTTAAATAAAGAATACGGTGAACAGAAGCTATCGAGCTCAAATGTAATGATATTAAAAATAAATATTTTAAATAAAGAATACGAAATGAAATAATGAATTCGAAATTTGAAATTTCGAACAAACGGAATCGAGTTAAAACGGTTAGGTCGACCGGCGGGCCACGTGCGAAACAATATTCACAATTGAAATTCAAGACACCAGCAACGTTTCCATTATTCGATATTTGATTCGGACAAGTGGGTAACCACCTATAGTAAGTCGAGTCAGTATATTTCTATAAATTGTATATATATATTTATTTTTTTATTGTATATATATATATTTCTATAAATTGTATGAGAATTTTCATATCTACCTACAATATATTCAGTTAATCCATTTATCCTATAAAAGCTGTTGAGCTTTGTTGGAATTTTTAATATAATATTTTAGAACACTTGTACTCTTCTACATTTTGGTCTGTTTTAACCAAACATACCAAAAGTTATCAAGTCTATATACTGATTGCTTGTCTGTCTGTTTGTTATTTTTTCTCGACCAAACGACTGAATAAATCTTGATGAAATTTGACATGAACATACATTGCACTGGTTTCTGGGACAGGCGATTTTTGTGTTTTTTTTATATTAAAATTTGAGCTTTGCGTTTGACAGCAATCTCACCTGATGTTAAGTGATGATGTGGTCTAAACTGTTACACGCAAGCTCAAATAGTGCCTATTCACTGCAGGAAAAATAGACGCTGGTAGAGAGTTCCACTCCTTAGCTGCTCGCATAAGGAAAGATGATGCAAAACGGTTGGTTTGAGCAGCGGGAATGTCGACAGTGTATGGGTGGAGCTGCTCTATACGTCTTGTTGTACGTTGATGGAACGATGCTGGAGGAATGAGGTTGTGCAGTTCTTGAGCACATTCGCTATCTTTGAGCTCTACTCTAGTTGTATTTTTTTTATACTACGATGGTGGTAAACAAGCATACGGCCCATCTAATGATACATAGTTATCGTAGTCTATGGACACCTGAGACACCAGGGGTGTCACGTGCGCTTTGCCAACCCTTAAGAAATTTTAATATACCCTTTTTGAAAAATCTCATGCTATAGTCTCGTGAGAAAACCTCGGCAGGTAGTTCATTCCACAATCTAAGTGTACGCGGGAGGATGCTCCTCTGAAACCGCACTGAGACCACTTAGGTTCTAGCGTGTGGGGATGAATTCCCTGTCGATGGCGAGTGGTGTGATGGTAACTATACTATCTGTCTATCTATCTATGGTCTATTGAGATAAATCTCAAAAACAAATACAAGTAGAGTTACAAGTATTGACAGTCGACTACTATATAAGTACCCGATTTTTTTGTATCGAAGAAATATAAAAGAAATATCACTATTTGGCACTTTTATCAGGAGACGATTAACGGGAACACACTTGTCAGGGGTGTATTCTCAGCGCTCCGTGTCGTATACGTTTTGTATCGAGTGACACTGAGGCACTCGACGCATCAATACGCCCGGGCGCCCGTATCGGCCTCGCATCCGTTCACCTTGACGCAACACTATTCAGCTGTCACATTGTGCGCGCCATTTTTTCGCAACGCACATTTTATGGAATAATATTTTGAAAATGGAATTCCAAGAAATGACACTCCATTTCTTGGAATTCCATTTTCAAAATATTATTCCATAAAATGTGTAGTGGAATTATTTTATAAAATACTAGATATGCCCGCGACTTCGTTCGCGTAAATTGTCGATACTTCCATGTAACCTTTCATCTCCCCTTTCAATCCCTTACAGTTTACGTTTTTTTTAATAGATAGAGTGATTTAAGAGGAGGGTTTATATATAATATATAATACATGTATCCATGCGAAGTCGGGGCGAGTAGCTAGTTAACTATAATGGAAAAGTTTTCAAAATTCTATATTTAGGTAACATAATTTATACAATATTTCATACATTTGTCAGAGCCCCCTTTTAAGCATAAATATGTGCCAGGAGACTACACTCTTCAGTATGTATTAATACATCAAAAGTGTTGTTTATTATTGTTGACAACCTCACAAAAGTTGTTTTAATACAAGTGCCTAATTGAAGTGGCAATCGGGCACACAGAAACTTCAAAGACGACATCATAAAATGTTACCGACCTCTCTTGACCTCTTTACGAGTTTTCGGAGGACCTCGTCCTAATATGCGTACGTGCTAGCACCCACAATGGGCGCGATAAAGAACTCTCCTCTCCTCTCCTCTCTTCGCCCTTGTCGAGGGACAGCGTGGTCAAAAATATAAAAGGGGCAAAATTAAATTCCTCGCAGCCTATAAAGTATAGAGTTACGTCATTATGACAGAATACTCTGAGAATAACACCCCGCGGTTACGTATTTTTTTTAATATTTGAAATACGATACTTTTCGTGTAATAAACAATTTGATACGTCTGTGTCTAGGGATTTTTTAATAAATAAGTAAATAATTATAGAAAAATCACATAGTTGGTACTAGTCACAAACTAAGCAGATATATACTGTACTGAAATATGCATATTTTTGTAGATAATAATAATAAATATTGTAAATTAATACCACAAACAAGAAAATGTATTAATACCACAAATAAGAAAATATTACATGTAATAAAAAAAATGTATTGTACGGGAATGACACCCACAACCCTCGTGAAAAGAGGTAGTTTATTATATGTTACGTAGAAAATAATAATAAAAATTGAAAATGGAATTACTTGTAAAATTTGGCGCCAAATATTACCAGAGGACTCAGAGTGAGTTCTTACTCCCTTATTTGGTCATAAATACACTTTTAATTATTGGCGTGACTAAAACACGAGCTACGAGCGACTAAAATACGAGTGTACAGCCACGACCTGCACATTTTAGTACTTTGTCACATTGTTATTGTTGACAATTCGAAACATTTTTTCATACTCATCCTTAATAATTTTCATTTTGACACAGTACAAACGGTCGGGTCATATTTATGAGGAATATTCTAGACTTCTATTGAAATTTAATTCTCTTCTATTGTAAATAAATGTGTTACTACACAGTCTGTATACGTGTAATACAGATAAACAAAAGGAAGACGCCATTACGGCATTTTAAGGAGTTCCAGATTGAAATCAAATGTGCCGTGACGACCGCGCGCGGGAATTTTGACATAAAGTGTTGTTGCAACTGTGACACAAGCGAATTAAAACTGTAACCACATAGCATTAGGACCCACAATTGCCGGCGGTAAACGAACACGTGTTCTCACGGTGACTTCGTGAGAGTAATAGTGTAACTTAAAAATAAATTTTATTCACAAATATATTTGTACAAATTTGAACTTTATATCAAACATGTTAAAACAATTGTCTCACTTCTGTGGGTGAATAGTTATGTTTGTGGACGAAATGAACCGTCCCATATGTTTAAGTTGCTTACATTTCTTGTAATGGTTTTAACTTTAACCACTGTTTAAATATATCCTTTTTTGTGTAACAATAGATGCGGCGCAGTCACGTTTATTCGTAGCCATGAATGAAATAGTTGTTACAACTCTCTGTTATGGTTATGTCGTGATGATGCCATGAATGGAAGGGTACCGGGGGCCATATTTTACATATTTTATCATAGATGCTTCTAGCTTATGAAAAGTTAGTGAGTTTTAATAATAATATAACTCTATATGCACAGAACTTAGTATATATATGCAAAACAAAAGGCAGCCTTATCGCTTGAAGCAATCTCTTACAGACAATCTGGACACAGATTTTTTATACTCATTTCATCGTTATACATCTATTTATATACATTAGAAATAGTGAAATAAATCTATTTTGTGAAAATAAACGTATAATTATTAGACAATTTCTTCTAAAAATCTTTGTAAAGCAACAATAATGAGGATGGTAACTTCTACGAGTTCATTGTTACATTTCTAGGAAATGTATATTTTGTAACACCATGTATTCTAATATAATGTTTGAATAAAAATATAACGAGAATTGTATTGAATATTCTTAATTTCACAATTTATTCGTTTCATATTTTTTTCTTTCTTTGTATGTATTTGGCTTCTTGTAATGTTTAGAGGAAAGACACAAATTCTTACATACATCTGTTATTCAAACAATTTAGTATCATTCACTATCATAACTCGTCTCATACATACCTTTTTTGTATATAATGTATATTGAATATGACTCCTAAATTTATCAATTACTGGATTTTTCATTAGTACAGATGTTAGAGCCCTCCGGATAAATTTTGCTTTCACTTTTTTTATATTGTAACAATTCGTGTGAATATATTGGTATCATATATGAACATAATACTATTCATTTTTATATTTATTAATATTCTCAAGCATGTGGGAGTCTAATTTTTTTTTATCTTTTCAGGTGAGTCTCAGCAACATGGGGATGACTGCAGTTATAGTTATATAAGTGAGTAGATTTAGAACACTTTAATTTTGTACATAAATGTGGCAGTTTATAATCTTTTGTTGAAATCACATTTTCATGCCTCTTTTGGGGATGGTTAGACATCTTACTTAGACTTTTCCATCCAACTTGATAATTTTTTGTATATAATATCACATTAAGTCTTCATGCATGCTATTATGTGTATATGTTTGCGTTCTATGATTATAAATATATTTGGTTTTTTTACTTTGTGTTATAATTTTTCTTTCTTTCTTTTAAATTCTTATATTTGCTAATGCACATGTACTATAATAGTGGTACACGTAGCTAATATTATAAGTTCATTAACACTATATGGATGTAATTCCGAATTAAAAATAAATAAATAAATTAACTTACAAACGATATACATTGTAGATGCACGTTATGTTTAATAGAAGACTTGTACATTATAGCATATTATATATAAAAATATTAACCAAACGAGTAAAGCCACATGCATATATTAGTCTAGTAAAAGAAGTGAATATTCATCACTCACTCGCGCACCCATAAAATTACGCCTTTACTTTAAAATTCGTGTATTCAGTTTGATGAAGGCGACGTAAAAACAAACTTGTTTGCATTCAGAATTTCAACGGACACTTAGTAACTTAATTAATAAAGTTTATCCTGTCCTGTTACAGTTTACGCGAGCGCTGTACGACTCGTTTATTTATAAAACGAACACACTTTATACCCTTTATATATATAAAAATATATTTGTTTATTTCATTTATTGAATTTTTTGATATACACCGCTTTGCACTTCATACCGCGTGCTGATTTATTGACGAAGAGTCGCAACATCTGCGTTATTTGTCAATTTTTTATATTTTTATTTTGCGGCTTTGGATAGTTAACACTATAATATCTTAATATACTATACTTTCATATAAGAATCTGCTATGTACATATTGCATTTACTGCTGCTATTTATATACCTAATATTAGTGGTGGGAGAGAGTGCTTGATGTTGTCGAGTATAAATTTATTTTAAATCGAATAAGTTTCAGTATTTTTAAGATATTTTATTATATAAATACAGTGTAGTCCTTAATATAGCTATATAATAAAATTTGGGAGATTACATCGAAATATCGAAGATAGATTGTACCATGAGGATAGGTACGCTATCTTTCATCTTAAAGAATGTTCTCGAAAAGGGTAAAATGGGTAATGAAAGTTTGTATGGACATCAATCATTTCTCAAGTAAGGTATATCAAATCAAAAATTCATGTAGGACATTTTAGTCGCTTATAAACATTAAATTTTTTGTATTAATATTTTTCTTCACTACCGGCCAGTTCGGTAAACAGATTCAATTGAGAAGAACTGGCAAGAAACTCACTGAATTTCTTTTTTTTTAAAGCCAGTTTATATGCATTGTATACTTAAATAGGTTATGTCTAATATTAAATGAAAATGTATAGAATAGATAATAAATTATTTAAATAAACATTAAAGCACTTTTGAATAGTCATCACATTTTTTTTTCAACTGCTCAATCGGAAATCTTATCACAAGAAAAACGAACTTAAACTTGCGTGTTGCTCTTTTAAATAATTTAGTTATTTCTTTACGTTTTTAAGTTAAAGTGTGTGAATACAAACTACCAACTAGTAATTCAATTAAATACTCAAATAGAGAAAATTTTAAATATAGAATCAAGTTGAGTAACTGAATAAGAGTAAATTGGTTGTAGTGATTAGAGCGGACCGGTAGTTTTCAATATATTCCAATGATTACTTAAAAGGTGCTGCTATAGCAATCGCTGGTCAAGCAAACAGAAGTTCACAAACGCAAGCTATGACGTAAATCGGGTCTACTGCTCACCCAGTTCGCATTTGCAATTCCATCCGCGTCTCAGACACTCCGCATTGCATTCGTCTCTTTCCAACAAATGATTTGGTACATCTATCTCTGTCTAATGCATTCGATAGCACGATTTTCGATGCAGTTTCGTTTCGTTTTCGCAAGCAAAGTCAAATGTAGCTGATTTCGTATTCGAATTTAGAATTTTCGAATTTCCGAACGGACTTTTATTCAACCTTAAAAAGTAAAGTTGGTTTTATTCTTTTTAATAGGTAACTTTAAGGCTCAAGAACGTACTATATACTGCCATATATTTTTTTAATTTAATTACATATTCATTTCGTACATTCTCACTGTAGTCCACATTTACTATGTTATTATTTAAACAGTATCACATTCCTCAGTGCGTTACTGTGTACGACACACAGAGAATATAGAATTCGTCTCACCATCCACTATTGAATACGAAATCGAACCTATGACCTCACCCACGTCCCTGACTACAATAAATAAATGTATTACGTAATGACATTGTCAATGTTATATTTATTGTTTGTTACGTCCATTTGTTCGGGAGAAACTACCAGATTTAGCGCTAAGTCACTTGACATAACGTTTTGTAAGGCATATTACATTATCATATAGTCAGGAATATATCTACGATAATGCAAAAATGTATGTGATTACAGATTCACGTAAATTATTTGCGAATAATTTACTTATGAAAATTACTGTGACTATGTCCACGGTAATCCAAGCGGGCAATAACGAATGATCAAACTAGTTATAAGAAAAGGGTTTAAATTTGCACAATATCTAGTAAAAATTTAGCAAATAAAAAAAATATTTATGTATATAAAAAGAGGGTACATATTTTTTATTTTTATATTCACGAAAATAAAAACAGTTATTGAAAAATTAATACTTTAATGATTCTATTTGAACTTAAGACTTTAGAAAACTATTTATTATTAGTATAAAAAATTAGATATTTAAATCTATTGGACAGATCGAATAAATATTCATAGATATAATTTAAATACTCAAATAAAAATACGGGCTGCATCTGTTATCCAGAGCCGAATAAAATGCAGGAAAAAAAGCAAATGCCTCGATAAAGCATACCCGAAAAAGAGAGCAGATAATACGTATAATTATTCATTTCCCTCTCGCCTCTTGAAGGCAAGAATCGTTCTCATTCCACCTTTGCAAAATATGGTATTTCATAACTTGGCGCAAAAAAAATCCAGCCGTAATTTAATGCCTTCCCTAAAAAATAATATGTAAAAATACGAGACCACTCGCGTCCCGTTTCGGCCCGTTTCGGACAATTTCGGCCCGTTCCAGCCATTACGGCCCATCTCCCGTGCCGTTATCTACCCCGTGCAAATAAATCAGGATATTATTTTCGCAGCGAAATATTATTTTCCATATCTAATCAGTGAGGCAAGAAATATGGATATGATACGCGAATCGTATTTATGACCTACGATTTTCTTGCACGGCGCGCGAGACACTCGCTGTGACTGGTGCGATGTTTCTCGATTTTTCTTTCCAGTTCTATATACCATTTATATAAATGTACATGTTGTTTACGAAACTTCTATCGATATTTTAAATTGCATTAAAAAATAAGTATGTCATTAAATCTTATATATAAAATTCTCGTCACAGTTCTCGTTCCCATACTCCTCGGAAACGGCTTGACCGATTTATTGAGCGTAGGTCTGAGAATCGGTCAACATCTATTTTTCATCCCCCTAAATTTTTTATTTTTATTTTAAGGCAAAACAACGTCTGCCGGGACAGCTAGTGTAATATAAAAAAGTACAAACCTAATCGAGAACTTTCTCGAACACTAGATTATCAAATCTAATACTAATTAAAAACTGTGTATCTTCTACAAATAAAACTAGATGGCACTAGTGTAGAATTAGAACTCGATATACATATTTTCGGTCTATGAAGTATCAGTTTGTTATTTTTGTATAAAATCCGGCGGTGAGGCTGAAAAGTCATCTGCAGTTAACAACATTTTCGAAATTACGACGGCTTGAGCAGAGATTCGAACCCCAAGCGGTGCTTTCAGCCTGAAGTCGTATCCGTAACGCAGAAGTTGGTCTTCAGCCGCTCCGTAAGTCCTTCCACGCGTTTGGAGTTCCATCTGCACTAGCCCCCTATCGTCCGATGAAGTTGTGCAGCTGAAAGACCATCTGCGGTCAACAGCATTAGAGAAAAAAATATATAAAATCTAATTTACGATATCCTGAGCCGAGGTTTCAACCTCTATCGGTGCCTTCAGACTAAATTCAAATCCGTCGATATCGTCCTATGACAACAGTATTAGAACAGTTCGTAAAAAATATGTTTTTTTTTCTATAGAAAAAAAACGAAGATATATCTTCGTTTTGTTCTTTTGATTCCACTATGGTTCAGTAATTAGTAACGACGTAGTATTTCCAGACGGTTCCTTTTTTCAGATTACCGCATTTCATCATCGGAAACGAAAATCCTTTTGACAAATAGCGAAACTATAAACTCGTCTCGACTCGCAATAGCAAATTCTCAACTTGGAAATTTTAATCAACAAATCGAATTCGACGGCGCTTGTTAACAAGTCGAATAATAACTTTTTAATTAGTGTTCTCAGTTCTGTTTGTATTTCGTATTGCTTCTGCGAATTTCATGTCAATGATCCAATGATGTATATTACAATTTGGTACGATTCTATGTGTCTGGCCTGGATGAACGTGGTGTCCTCTTTAATTGTTCAGGAGAGCAGAACAATACAAGAAACTTTCTTCAGAAAAAGCCACGCATGAGTCCTAAACACGGGCATTGCGTGACTATCTGGATAAGCATGCGGTGACCTCTTTAAGTGTCCTGCTCTCCTGGTACTCCTGGTACACAGAAATAGCAATTCAGTGTAGTGAGTCACGGGCATCACGTCACGATGCCGACTTAATGTGCTTTAAGTGTTTATGTACGATATGACGGCCTCGGTGGTCTAGCGGTGCAGCACACCGCCTTACTTCTGATGGTCGCGGGTTCGATTCCTCCGTACGGCACAAACATTTGTATTTATGACTATGATTCTTTGTATCGATCTGGGCGTTTTCTTTGTATATTAAGTATGTATTTATGAAAAAAATGTGTGTGTAAAATA